CTATGTCGAAAAGTAGCATCAAAACAAAGACAGTTTTAACAATGACCGATATCACACAATCTACTGAGCTTCAAGCTTTTATAAGACAAAAGGACGGTTATAAAGTTACTGTAAAAATTTCTTTGTGTATTTTTGTTGCTCTATCTTGAAACGAACTCAAAGTCCGGCAAAATCTACTTGTGACTTGCTACAATATTTCAAATTTGTTCGATGAATGCTTTTAGGGGGTTGATTTATGCAAGGCATACCCTCTAAATTCCAAGAAAGGTTTACATGTATTAATATGTAATAGTCTCGGTTAACAGTTCCCTCAACCAATTTAAAACGAGTAGGATGCACTGAGGAAGATTTTAGAGTTGATGACATAAAGAAAATTAAAAACGAAGACAATGCAAGAGAATAATTTAAGATCACAACCAGCGACCGTTCGAATTAGACTGAGAGAAAATTAGGGATGATGGTTCTTTTTATAAATTCTGATCAGTTGCGACAGCAAGAAAAAATAATTGCGGGATATTTTCAAATAACGAAACGAAACGTCAAACATTTTCCTCAAATTTCTTGATATCAAAGGTCCTAGATTAATTTTAGTTGTCAGTTAAACGTGGTCAGAATGATAATTGTTTCTGAATTTATTTCAAGACTGTTTTTCGTGTGGCGTGAACATTTCGTGGGAGTTTTTATTTTTGCGGATGGAGAAAGTCTATGCTTTGTACGAAAAAGATTAGGTCCGTCTCTACATGACTACTAGTTTCATCAGTGAAACATCAGCCGGAGGGGGGATGCTCTACTGGCAGGACAGAAAGGAATGAAGGAAGGAAATAATTTGAGTTTTATTATTCCCGTTTGCCATCTTCTCTATAGTTTAACAAAGAGGAAGTAAAAAGCCGGTGGGCGATTTGTCGATAGATGCTCCGAGTAAGTCCTAAAACAAAGAATGTGCTCTGGATACTTGCAATTGATTCCCTTTTGTAGTTTCTAATTTGGCTGAAAATAACAAACTTTCGCAATGTTTTACTCAACGCGATTTTTGAGCGGGGAACGTAATTTTGCGGATCGCCAAATATCCTCA